GGCTTTATAAAGCAATCCTGTGTAGCTCGTTGGGTCACAGAGGTGCACAAACCATCACACCGCTTCAAGGTGTAGTCTCGTAGTGACGTAAATCCTATGATGAATCTACAATTGAGAGACCCGAGCATTATGAATTTGGATCTATCGCTGCTTCAAAGACACGGCTTATATCCCGCAATCTCGATAATGAATAAGACAATCACAACAAACTTAAATGACTTGAACTGAGCTCACCTTTGAACTCGGATCGGTTGATTCACAACTTCCAGATTCGGTCAAAGATTCTGTAAAAGTGAATAGAAATTAGATGGAAAGTACGCATATGGAAAACAATAAGCTGAAGAGATGAAACACTGTGGAAGTACCTTAGGTATTGAAATACAGCAAAATAAATTAGATGGCGATTTCTAAGGCGTTCGATAAATCTTACCCACTGGATAGTATTACGCCTAAGAAGAAAATTGCAAGGGTAACTGGAATTTCATATACATAGGTCCTTAAGCTGTGTGCTTTCCCAATAGGCCTAAAAGGTTTGGTTACAAGCGATCAGTTAAATCGCGAACAAATAGCACCACTAGGGAACTGAGAGTCTTGGTGTTTTAGAAATTACCATCAGGACTCCATCACTATTTCTCTAGAAGGGTGGAGTTGTATGCTAGCGAGCTCCGGTCGTGGTCACGATGGAAGAACAGTCGTTAATTAGCGGCTAACCATGGAAACTTTGGGTCTATGCTCGAGGATATAGCGGGTTCGGCACCTAAAGAGGTTTCTATGCATGCAACACTAAGTGTATCTGTGAATAGTGTTACGAGGTGACGAATGAGGCCCTCCGCTCAATATGGTCATTGACTCTTTCCGAGTTCCAGCTATGAGACGAGGCTCTCCAGAAGAGGTGAATGGGCCATGGAACTGGCTGCTGCATGCAGATCGTGTATGATCGCGCACAAGCTAGAGTGCACACTCAAAAAAGGGCTACTACTGACCGGAAAACCGAGTAGTACAACAGCTACGACCTTAAGATTTTATAAATATATGGTAGTTTAGAATTCCACACCGTACATACATCCTTGTTTCCTTAAGCCCCCCTCCTCATCTTACCGCCGCTCCACTCAAACATTTACATGCATCGGGAACCTCACTTAGCAGCAATGCTTCGGGTGGAAACCGTGTCTGTTTTCATTTATCTTGTTTCGACTACATTCGAAATCCCACCTAATTGTCCTTTTCCTCCATTATCCGAAGTTTCTATTCTTTCTCGATACCCTTTCAAATTGGTCACATCTGATATGCGTACCCAGGCGCTTATAAGACAACAGGCATGATTGAAACACTAGCAATCGAAGTGTGTAGTACCCAAAAGGATCACATTCGAGACATGAGCTCCACCAATCGATCTACGTTCCCATCCAACCAATCCACAATGTTTAACTAACGCCTTTCTGGGAGCCTTGAGATTGATTTTTCTGGTCTTGCTGGTGTAACTCCCAGTGAGACTGGTTTTCAGTCGGCAACCGATTGTGTGTAGGGGGACTCAAGGGCTCATGAAAACTAAGCAGTCGTCGCCTCGATAGACGCAACTCCTGTAGTGTCAGACTGTAACCAAGATACGGTCAAAGATGTCTTCTACCAAAAATTACAAGACCTCATATCAAATGCGAGTCGTGCTGATATCGTGATTTTCGCAGATGTGAATACCAGAGTAGGTGCATTTAGAAAGTCCTTTTGGGCTACGTTCCTGCCGCTTGGAAAACGATTGTTGGTTCCATGTTGTGGCCAACATTTTTTCCTCGCTAGTACGAAATTCAGACGCTCCAATGGCTAGCACTCCACCCAGCGTCCGCCTTTCTTGATCCAGTGACGGACCTAGATAAACCAAATCGTCATAAGTCACAAACAACAGTTCCATGCAAGACTGTTTATCGTACTGCCTTCGAATTCAACCAAGGATTAGTTTACGTCAAGTTGTGCATGTGCTTCAGTGGACGTTTCAAACAGATGAAACAGTGGTTGTAGGACTACAATAAGCCGTCAACAATCGCCTTTCAAAACGTGTTAGCTGAAAATCTAAAACCAAACCAATTCGACAACATCAATCTACACTGGTTGCTCATCGAGAATGCTTAGCATTCTACTGGTTTAACGAGTTGTGGCCTGACACGTCATATCAGGACATCCTAGAGTTCTGCTCAGCTTGTGTGCTTTCTTGAAGCACGCCGGTTAATTCCGACTGGCAGCGATTATAACGAAACACGATACGTAGCGAGACGTTACTTTAACGCAAGCCTACACAGAGACCGCGCAATCGGGCCGACACAAAGTGTTTCAAGGATGAAACGTGCTGCCGCTGAGAAACTCCCGCCTCATCTGGATCACCAGTAGAAAAACAATAGGTGAGCGAGACGACCCGTGATGCTGACGGACAGTCCATTCACGAAACAAACTACATATGCACGATAGGCGAATCACTTTACGGTTTAGTTGACCCGGCCATCAGCTTTAGTTCGTCCCAGTCGTTTCGGCACACGTCCCATGATTTGTTTCGACAGAACAGTTCAGTTTTAGTTTGCACAACCACTAACCATGCACGTTCGTGCACCGGTTTTGGTTGCTGTCTTTTTGATGCCCACTTGGATGGATCATTAGGGGAAGAAAGGGAATTTGAAGTAAAGTCCAAGAGAATATGGAGAAGTTCAGTAGACTAAGGTTGCAAAGAAAATGAGAAAATGCACGAACACCGTGATTTAAGAGTTGACGATCATGGTGTCCGCCGATGTGCTTGCTCCGTAGTATTAGCATATGTCGCGGAACCGTGCGTGTTCTCTCGTTGTGCGATATTGTGTAAGCCGTCCGAGGGCGTTCAAAATGTGTTCCCGGTTATCACTACAGTTTGCCATTTGGGTTTCATGTAACCTTGTGTTGGATACACTGAGTGAACCCAGTTGAAGTTGTTCCTCTCGTTTATCTTGTGCTTCTGAGTGACAGTTGCACAACAATCACCGTGTACTTAGAAATCCACGCGGTTTTTTATTTCGTCGATAGGACAACATCCTGGAACATTTTGCGGAGAAATGGGATGCCTGAGATATATATACCGACCCCTAT